ATATACATATATATATATGTGTATATGTATAATTATAAATATGTTAAACGAGGACTCTCTCTCTCTCTTTAAAATAACAAAAACAAAATTAATCTGGGCTTATGGGAGTCAACGCGAGAGAAGGTGCGCAATAAAATTTTAATAAATAAATTTATTACTCCATTTGATGCGTTGATATTTCTTTATTTAAAATCTTGAAAAATCATTAAACGTGTCAATTCTTCTTGGAATCTCTTTCAGCAATTTTTCAGCAATATTCTTATTCCATATTAGATTTCGCGAACGATCAAGATGGAGTCACTCATAGAGTGCCAAAACTATAGTATAATTCACACGATGGTCAAATCCTGTTGTCTGTAATAAATGACGCATGTGGCTCTACCAGGTGTATAAGCTTAAATCCGCTGTTTACTCATAGGTGGCATTAGTGAGCGTACAAAGCTACCCTAGGCACACAACACACTTTTTTTTATGTGTTTGACATCTGTCAACATTAACCAGTGCACATCATTAGCAATTTCATACAACAACATACATTTTTTCTTTCGTAATCATGTTTAGTTTTTTGCTAAAAAAAAAGCATATCCGGGAAGCTTTGCTTTTCTGTTTCAATTTGAAGAAATTGGCTGCCGAATCGCATCGAATGCTTGTGGAGGCCTATGGCGACAATGCTTTGTCGGAAACAATGTACAGAGATTGGTTTCGCCGATTCAATGACGACAATTTTGACCTGAGTGACAAGAAGCGTGAAAATCGGCCCAGGAAGGTTGAAACTGTCAATTGCAAGCTCTTTTGGACGATACCCAATCGCAAAAAATGCTTGCCGAGCAATTCAGTATTTCTCAAGCAGCCATTTCCATGCGGCTACATGCCATGGGGAAGGTTCAAAAGATCGAAAAATGGGTGCCGCACGATAGGCAGATGGAGCGACGCCAAAACACGTGCCAAATTCTGCTTGCCAGACAAAAAAGAAAGTCGTTCCTGCATCGGATTGTGACAGGCGATGAAAAGTGGATCTATTTTCAGCATCCTAAACGCAAGAAATCTTGGGTTGATCCCGCCCAACCAACATCTTCCTCAAGACCAAATCGCTTCGGACGGAAGACGATGCTGTGGGATGTGGAGGGTGTCATCTACTACGAGTTAAAACCTGATGAAACTGTTAATGCTCACCGCTACCACCAACTGCATCAAATTGCACTGTGCTCTGCGTGAAAAAAGACCGCATTATTGGAAAAGACATGACAAGCTGATTTTCCTCCATGACAACGCACCATCGCACACGTCAACAATGGTCCAAAATTACTTGGAGACACTCAACTGGAAAGTGCTACCCTATCTCGCTTACTCACCAGATCTGGCACCTTCTGACTATCACCTGTTTTCGTCGTTGGGCCACGCTGAGCGGCACTTCGATTCTTACGAAGACGTCCGCAAATGGCTTGATGAGTGGTTTGCCCCGAAAGATGAGGAATTTTTTTGGCATGGTATACACAAATTGCCCGAAAGATGGGAAAAATGTATAGTTAGCGAGGGCAAGTACTTTAAATAAATTTCTT